TATTCTTATTTTTTTTTTTAGTAATTAAAATATTTCTGTTATTCTTGTTGTATTGAAAAGGGTATCGAGTATCGAATATTTTACTTAGTATCGGTATCGAGTTGAAAAGTTTAGTATCGTGACAACCCTAGTGCATTTTCATTATTAATCCGTGTCCTCCATTGAAACTTTGAGCTAAACAAACTGACAATTATTTCTACAGCGACATAACCGTAATTGCATAAATCTAAACAAGGACACCCAATGGAAAAGTTGGAGCAGCTGCAAATCCAATATGACCGACACACTAAAATGTAGTGAAAGTTGCTGGGCTCCCTAGCCCTTCTGATGTTTTGCATCTTTTTAAACCGCTTTTCCTTTTTGTCATAACATAAAGATATCTCCTTTGTTAGCATGTCCTGCTAATCGAGTTCTCTGACCTCCATTTAGGATGTGATGTCATTTTAACCTCAGACTCCAGAGATAAATTTGGAGACCAAAATTAGGACACTATTTTTAAGGTGACTGCTACATGTTTAACTCCTGCAGGCCAGTAGGTGGCGCATGTCACTACCGGATCTGTACTGGTAGCACAATCCATACCATCAGCTAATTTAAGCATGTGCAACCAAATATGCATCTCCACCTCTATTTTAATTTGTAAAAAGACCTTAATTACATTTTCCCTCCCTAAATAAGGAAGCGTACTTAACTATAATGTGTTAAAGGTTAATAATGTATTTCCTGAGAAAATAAATGCATTAAAATCCTTTATTTTATCACTCATAGTAGCTTCATCTGGTCTGTTCCTGTTTGGCTGTGATGCCATCCTGGAGAGAAATATCAGCTGTGCTGCTGCCATCAACACCTTTGTTATAGATGTTGGAGATCAGCCTTTTTTCCAGTGTATACCTGTTTCTCTGACTGTGACTGGCTGCTCACACTGAGCCTGGTTCTGCTGGAGGTTTCTTCCTGTTAAAAGGGAGTTTTTCCTCTCTACTGTCGCTACAAGCATGCTTAGTGTGAGGGATTGCTTTCTAGTCAATGAGTCGATGCAATCAACTGGTTTTCCTTAGATAGAAAACTTTGAATCACTTTTACTGGATGATCTGGTGAACTGTAAAGTGCCTTGAGATGACGTGTGTTGTGAATTGGCGCTATAGAAATAAATGGAATTGATTAATTCAGCTTAAGCGTTTCATGGTTGATCTATTGCCCAGTTTTTAAGTTCAGTTGACCACCATGTTATTCCAGATTGGTTTTGGTTAAAAACTTTTAAGTATTTAGAGCTTTATCATCACAAATAATGTACCTAAGTTCAAAAAACTTAATCAGTCGATGTTGAAGGGCTTACAGTTTCTTCTTTAAATCTACTTGTCCTCAGTTTAACCCTCAAAGTAAGGTAGTCTCTACCTGTTGTCAGAGATAATTAGGCAACCCTGACATCCCCAAAGGCAATCTTAGCAGAGGAGTTGCTCTTCTCTCTGCAGATTTCCTGATTACCTTTTCCCCCCACAGGCTCGCACAAGGAACCAGCGGCCCCGCATTGCGACGCCAAGCAGAGCAGGAACGTCTACGCCTCGTCACCGGTTCAAGAGAGGAGAGAGTCTGATGAAGAGGAAGAAGACAATGAGGATGAGGAAGAGGAGGAGGAGGAAGAGGAGCAGAGGCCCTTGTGTTCTGGTGTGCTAGGCTACCCGGTGGTTAGGGACCATACGCTGGGTCTGGGGCTGAGCAGCGCTCCTGAGGCACAGGCTGGAGACCCGCCACAGAACCAGGAGTATAAAGGTGAGTCTGTCAGCTGATGGGTTCACTTTGAACCGTAAATAGACTTTAATGTTTACAGAAACGTGGGGCAGTAAAAGTTTTTGTTTTTAACATCTCACAAGACTTTTCCCATAAATAGTTTCTATATTTAACACCTGAGCTACAAACGGAGAATCTCTCAGTGCAAATGGGAATGACATCATTCTTAGAGAAACGTTTATGTAAGATTTCTAACTTTAGCTGATTCTATGATGGTCTACTAGCTATGGAAGAGCATTAGGGTCACTGAAAAAATAAAAAAGTTAACTGATTTTTAAATATTATTTCAGATTATTATGGGAAACTTTTTTCTCAGAATTCGGACTGAATTCTGACTTTTTCCTCTGAATTCTGACTTTAATCTCAGAATTCCGACTTTAATCTCAGAATTCCGACTT